AAGAGAGAGAGAAAGAGAAACATCAGTGATGAGATAGAATACCAGTAATTGATCAACTGTTTCCTGCACGCCCCCTACTGGGGATTGAGCCTGCAATCCGGGCATGTGCCCTGACCGGGAGCCATGCTCAACCACTGAGCCATGCCAGCTGTTCCTAGTTTATTTTTAAAATAAACATACAGTGGGGCCTTGACTTAGGAGTTTAATTCGTTCCGAGACCGAGCTCCGAGCTCATTAAGGGGCTCGTTAACTCAAATTACCCTGTCAACTCAATGCAAAAAATCTGCTGAGAGACAGCTGGTATCTCAAAAAACTCGTTAGTCAGGTCACTCGTAAGTCAAGGCCCCACTGTATTTGTAACAATGAGTGACTTACATTAGTGTGGGAACCAGGTGGGGTGCCACACCTCCACACCATGGGTGAGTCTGGGAGCAGAGGGCACTGCAGCTCTCAGAAGGAAGACTTCCAGGCCCCCACGGAGCTGGGGGTGCAGGAGACCAGGTCCCAGAGATCCCTCAGGTCATGGCCCCACTTTCTTGCAGGCCACAGGTCTGGGCCTCAAGCTCCTACACCCTCATCCCTGCCTCCTCCTACCAGACTCCTCATCTGTCCTTGCCAGGCCTGCTTAGCAGCTCAGGCAGCCCTCATAAATCAGGGCTCCTTGCCCTTTTATACTCTGGCTCTTGGTGCACACAGCCTTTTGGGCCTGTGGAGCCTGAAATAAATCCTCTCAGGCACCGAGTCCCTGAGAAGCCCCCGCAGAGCGCTAGTCAGCACCTAGCAAGACTTCTCTTTGTTCTGCCTGGGGGCCCTGCTGTCCAGGCCCCTCCTCCTGTCCAGCCTCTCCCCTCCTTAGTCACCTGGAGGCCTGTTTGCATGATGTCCCTCTGCAGGGAGCTGCACGCCTCTTCCCAGGCTGTTTCCTGGGGTGATTGTCCAGGGGATTTCTGGCAGCTCCCAAGCCTCTGAGTGTCCCAATTGTCCCCCAGATCTGAGGGTGGGGCAGCTGCCAAGGGCACACCCAGGCTTGCGCTGCCGTGGCGTGGCCACCCTTCCCCTGTGCTCATGTGGGACACTGTAACACTGTGAGGATGGTTGAGCAGACATTATTCTGAGATCACAAGAGAGCGGCTCTGAGGTTTAACACCTTGACTCAAATCCCATGGTTATGTTTTCATGGTCCCTTATCTCACGCCTCCAGTGCCTTAGAACATTTGTGATTTTGTCTTTTATTGGTGTGATTACTTGAATTCTATCTGTATTCCCCTCCAAATAGGACAGCTTTGCCCACCACTCTATTCCCAGTGCCTTGTCCACTGGCTGATACACAGATGCTCCATAAATGTTTTTAAGTCATTGGATGAATTTTTGAGTTAAGAGGAAGAACATTCATTCATTCATTCATTCAACAATGGATTGAGTGCTGGGCCCTTTGGTGGGTCCTGGGGATTAAAGATGAATAAGATATAACCCCACCCTTGAAGAAACCAGTCTTGTGAGGAAGACAGACTTGTAAATAAGAAATTACAACACTGCTTAAAAACACCTTAATGGAGGAATGTCCCACGTGCTAGGACAAAACAGGTTCTACATCCTTCCTGGAGGAGGGGCCTTGCAGGATGCGTGTTGGGGCTGGGCAGAGTGAGGGAAGGGCATTCCTAGCCCGGGGCCTGGGGGGTGGTGACAATGAGTTCCACATCCGAGCCAATTTGAAACCATCATAAGATTTCTTGAACCAACAGCTCAAATATAATCTCTCCATTCTGCTCCTGGCTCTCTCATCTGTAACTGCATCCCACACATCACCGAGCAGGTGGGCCCCAGCTGTCTGCAGACAGTCTTCCTCGGCTTGTCTTTTACTCCCTTCTCTCGGACTAGCAAGGGTTCCTCTGACTTGCAGTTCCCGATACCGTTGCCTTTTCCACTTGTTGTGTAATTAACGTTGTGATGTAAGATATTCAGGTGCACATGTATACACAAGAGGAAGGAGTCGGGATTCTTGGGGGACAAGGTGGGCTGTGGGTGAAATAGGGTTGCTTGTAAGTTAAGTACCAGAGGGAAAGGTTAGTGCAATCTATTGTGTGAGGAGCAGAAGGGAGTCATAGGTAATCACTTCGGGACTCAGGGGCTGGGCTGTTTTAGATGTGCCTGCAATGGAGGAGGGCCCCTATCACAGTGATAAATGTCATCGAAAGGTGACAAATGTCAGCTCAGTGGAGAGAGGCTACGGTGCTTCTACAGTTGCAGTAATTTTAAAAGAGGAACCTAGCAATTTGACCTAAAACGGACTTCATGGATTTGCTTTCTATGCCACACACACACACACACACACACACACGCACTGCTGGATCCCTCCCCGGCTGTTTTTACATCAATTTTATTCTTACTTGTATCTTTACAGAAAATGGCACAGAAATCACAGGTTTAGAATACCTAGAAGTTATTACAGTTCCATATTTCAAACACCTCAATATCAAGGCTCTTTCTTCTCACTCTATGTACATTATTTACACACCAGGGGCTACAGTCTAACACTTCAAACCAACAGGGGGCAAAGACGAGAACTGGGCGAAAGTTCTGTGAATGGAATGAAGAAGAAATCAACTTGCAATAGGGAGTTAAAATCCCAATTCACTGTCTCAGGCCTTTCATGAGGTATTCCCTGCAGAAGTGGTGGGATGGTAAGGAAATGGGATGGGGTGAGGGGGACATGACCTGGCCTGGGGGTGGGGGGACAGCTGCAGAGGCCACCAGTACGGGCAGGTCCTCTCAGCAGACGGGAAGAAACCTTTTGCCCCCTGCTCCATGTGCTCACTGTCCGTCTGATTCTAGCGGACATGCACCTATGCACGCACCTGGCATGAAGGCGCGCGCCCATTGCTTAGTTTGTTGTTTGGGTCTAACACTGGCTCCTGCTTTCCTCCTTCGAGCCTTTTCTCATTCCCTTCTTGTGATCAACCCTTGATGACTATATAGAGCCCCAGGCCCTCTCCAGGCTTGGCCTTCCAAGGACAACCTGGGTGAAACTGGGTCAAGGTCTGTGGCTTCCCAGGTGTTCATTTAATAGCTGGATTGGGTTGCTCCAAGGCAGGGCACATGCGAACCAGTAATTTGTGAGAAGCTCCAGGGAAAGGGTGCCTTGCACAGCAAGTCAGGGTCACAGGCAGCTCATCAGGGGAGTCGGTGCTTTAGAGCACAGCCCAAGGGCCCTGGTGGAGGGGGTGGTCCCCCCAGCAGTGCAGAGAGCCACTCGGTGAGAGGTGCCCCTGGCTGCAGGGCACGGGCCCTGGACTCACTACAGGTGCACATCATCTCACATGGGGCTGGCACTGGTGCTGGGAGGAATGGTGGGGCGTGGAGAGGGCAGGTTCCTCGGGGTGACCACGGAGGGCGGCCGAGGGGCCCAGGCTGAGTCTTCCCTCCCATGTTTAATCTGGACTCTGGGCCCCACTGATGGGGTGGAGCAGAGGTTGTACCTGGGCCTGCAGGGCAGTACATTCACACGGTGGAGGCCCAGGTCCGGGCCCGCGGGAAGGGACAGGCTGAGGGGGGAAGTTACTGGCTGAGGACTGGGGTGCTCAGGACATTGGCCCTGGAGTGCAGGGCCCCTCCCCCTGACAGGGCCAGGCAGGCAATGGGCTGTGGGCCTGGGGGGAGCAGAATCCACAGGGGGTTAGAGCTGGGCAGAGGGTCTAGAGCAAGAGGACAGTGAGGGGCAGATCCGGACAGTGAGAGTGGCCAGGGATTGAGTGAAAGCGGCTTGAGGGGCGGTGTGGGCAGCAGAAAGGCTTCCGAGGCAGGGCTGTTGGGCTGAGGAGGATGCTGAGGAGGTCAAGACTAGGAAGGGGATACCAGCGTGGTCCAAAGCCTTGGCCAGAATTGAGCTGTGTCTGAGGTCGCCCGGGGGTCATGGAGGGCCTATGGGGCAGGGAGCGGGTGGCAAAGGCCAGGCTGGGCCCAGCCTCGGAGGACACCTCCCGGCACCACAGGCCCGGAGGAGAGCAGTCCTGGGCTCCAGTGGCAGCGCACCCTTGACCCTTGACCTAAGCCACGTCCTCGAGCTGCCGAGGACTCAGCTTCTCCACTGGCCTGTCCTCGTCCATGGCCTCCTCTTCCTCGGGCTCCTCGGCGTTCCGGGCCAGGCTGTTGGGCCCGGACACAGTCCCCAGCACTTTGGTGCTGTGCTCCTGCGCCCTGGCTCGGAGCGCCGCAATGCTGTTCTCCCTCAGTTCCTCCTGGGACATGGCCGCCGGGCCGTCGGGGCCCCGCTCCTCCTGCTCCATCTTATCCAGCTTGGGCAGGGCCTGGCGCTCCACCTCGGGCTTCCTCCCCGACTCGGCTGCTGCCTCCAGCGACTTTTTGTGCATTCCTAAAAAGAAGTGTTGGTATTCGGGTTTAGAAAAGCGCCTGGGAAAGCCATCTTGAACTGAAAACAGCAAAGATAGAGAGAGGCCAGAATTAAGGACAAGCAGAAAGCCTTACTTCACACACCACAGTCATGAGTCCCAGGGCTGGGCCAGGGCAGCGGGAGGGCTGCAGACCAGCAACTAGGCGCTGGCCTGCAGAGGGCTCCTCCCAGCCACGCCCCTGGCCACTGCCCCCCTGGCAGCCTGTTCTGTCCCTTCCCAAGCACAGAACTTGCTCCCATCCCTCCCTCCTGGGATTCGAGGTCTTAGAACCCCAAGGCAGGCTGGTGCTCTATCAGACAGGCCCAGATGGCAGGTGGAGGAAGATGGCAGGTGGAGAGATTTAGGGGGCAAGAAGGCCTTTGGGCAAAGCCAGAATGTGGCCAAAGGGACCTAGGGGTCCCCCAGCCCCCAAGAGGGGCCGTTCCATTCATCACAAGCGCACCTCCCACAGGGAAGAAAGGAGTACAGACCCTGGGGCACCAGTCACACCCCCCTCACAGGACAAAAGAACCCACAGTCAGGGACCTGTCCAGGATGGACGTCCTAGGCACCGTGGGTGGATGCAAGAGAGACACCAAGCCCTGGGCCCAGCCCACACGGAGCCCCCAGGGGAGCTGGGGGACCTGCTTTGGAGGCCTCCCTTCTGCTCGGCTGCTGTGCCAGGTCCCTTTGCTCCAGGCTCCGTCCCCTCCTAGGGGAGCCCACTCTCCTTGCCTCGGGGGCAGGGCCCCAAGGAGGGTGTGGGCTCTTACCGAGCAGCCACGGGGCACAGGAGTCCATGATGCCATCCTTGGCGGACTTGAGGATGGACTCGGGCAGGGGGATGGAGTGCCGCACCATGGCCCCATACAGCCCGTACTCCGCCATGACGCTGCTCCGGCCCCAGCACTTCTCTCGCTTCCTCCACTTGGCTCTGCGATTCTGGAACCAGACCTGCAGGTGTAGACCAACAGGTCAGGGGTGTGCTCTGAGGGGCCCTGGGCCCAGGCCCCCCACCCCCCTCCATGTCTATCTGGAGTTAAGGTCCCCAACCTTTCCATGGCCAACGGCCCCATACTCTTGGGACTGCTGGTTTCTCCAGGTGGGTGTCCTTACTCAAGCCCCCTGGTACCCAGGGGGTTCTTCCAGGCTCAGGGGTATCCCCCAGAATCTGATGGGTGAAATGGTCTCTTGTTTTCTTTTCTTTTTTTTTTTTAGTGGGATAAGGACACCTCTAGGTCAGGGTCCTGCAGGTGAGCAGGGCCCAATGTGGTCTTCAGTTTGCAGCTGAGAAGCCCGACCCAGGTAGTTCTTTGTGCTCAGACCTTAGGGCATAAAGAGAATGTCTTTCTGACTTGCAGAGGGACACGTTTCTTCCCAGGGGCTGGACTAGCCGTGTTCAGAGCTCCCTCCCTCTCCCCCGAAGGCTTCCAGGGAGCACGAAGGTGCCATGAAGCCTGGGAACCGAGCAGAAGAGGGGGTGCTCCCAGGCCTGCGTCAGCGCCCTCCTGGGCCCGGTCCTGAGCCTGCCATCCACAGGCCCTCCATTCGCCTGCTCTCCAGTTACCAACCCAACTCGGCATCATATTTGAGGGATTGGCAGCCATCCCTCCGTCAGGGAAGAAAGACGAAATTCTCAGTGGTGGGAGAAGCAGATGGGAGTGGGCACCTAGGAAAGTGTGGTGGGGCACGCTAGGGAAGGTTTTATTTCTGGTCCCCAAACCGGTGCAGAGTCTGAATGAGGGGCGGTTGTCCTGGGGGTGCCTGGAGCTCTCCCGCCCTGGAGGGGCTGCCATGCTTGGGGGAGGGGAGATTCCTTGTCTCCCAAACCAGCTTTCCCGAGACTTCCAGCCACTGACAGGAGCCAGAACCAGAACCAGGGGCCGGCCACTGTTCCTCCAGTAGGTGCGGGGCGCAGGCAGGACCCCAGGCCCGGGGTGGAGGGGGTGGGGGGGGCCCTCTTGTTCCTTCACAGCTCCTTGGGCTCTGTCCCCCCAGTGCAGCAAGGAGCTCTGGGAAATGGGGAGAAGAGGGGAGGGCAGGGGCGGATTCCAGAAACCTATTAGTTTCCGCTGCGATTTCCATTCCCTCGCCTCGCCGGCCCCCCCTTCCCTCCGGGCCCCCTCCCCGCCCTCGGCAGCGGAGGTTTCAGCTTTTGATGAAAAATCGCTCCAGCTCTATTCAGGAGGCGGCAAAAGAAGAGTCACCCCCAGGGGCAGCCCTGGGCTGATTGAAAAATAAGTTAATTTCAGTTTGAATCGATGGGCCTCAGGCACTGAAATATCACGGGAAATTAAAGCGGCTGCTCCCCCGGGGGCCGCGGCATTGACCCGCACTAATTAATGCTGGGGAGGCCGCACGAGCCGCGCTTCGAGCCGCTCCCCCTCCCCGGGGGACCCCAAACACTTCTCATTTAACTAATTAGACGGGGAAAATTGGGTGTTAATTTGTTTAGGATTTTTCCCCTTCTTCCCCCGGCAGCTCCCTCCCCGGCTCCGCCCCGCGCGGGGGCGCGGGAAATGAATGCGGGGCTCGCTGGCAGATGGCTGCCCCGGTCACTCCGCAATCTTCTCAGACTTGATTGCTTGATTAGGTCGTTAGCACATTAAAAAAAAAAAATTGCTTGCCGTCTGGCGCTGGCGTGATGAGTGGGACGCGCGGCAGCGCCTGGGTAATTTATCTTTTTATACGGCAAAGAATTTGATTTCAATCTGCAGATATATGGGGCGCCTTTGACACCTGTTT